TTTCTTGTTTGTGATTGGCTGAATCAAATAAAAGATAAGATAAGCTCTTGAGTCCGCCTTGTATTCTCTTCAGATGCTAATGCAGGCCATTTTGGTGTCGTCCCAAACCAGCCCTATCCAAAAATCTTTCGTTCTAATAAATTTGCATAGCTACAGGCCACGTAAGTTAAGCCCTAAAAGTGATCAGCATCAAATTTCTCCTTGTAATATCGATGATGAGAATTATGGACGTGATCACACAAGATGAATTTGCTTGATAATTTATCAAGTTCTCGCCACCACTCTATGGGAAATGAATAGGGTCAAGAAATAAGAATTAAAATTTTGATCTTAAGGTTTAAACGGTTAAAGACCTCCATGCCCCACAGCTGTGCGCGTTCATTTGTTATTAGAGATAGTCATCGTGTAAATTCCTACATTGTGTTGCTAACCATCAAATAGAGAACTAACTTAGATGGGAAGATACTTAATAACACTGCTGTGTGAAAGGGGTGCCGTTTTTCAATAGAGGGCATACAAAAGGGTACCTTTTTCGTGAAAAATGGTATATAAAAGGGTAAGGGATTGGACCCCCCCGGGCGTCGGACGTAGGTTGCGAAAAGTAAACCCGTAGACTTGAAGTGGGATTACAGTTCCCCCAAATTTAGACAGCATTTCGTGGTTAATTAAACGTTTAGTGGTCCCGTAAATGATTTTTTAGGTTTTTCACGCGAAAAATAAAAAATAAAAATGGAAACTCGTAACGATATTTCGTAAGAGACATTTCAGAGTCGACACGGCGTCTAAATAAACGTAAAGCAAGGAAAGTGATATCAAAAAGCTCATCAAAAATTTAAAATCCAAAAGCTTTTACCACGTTTTAAGTATTTCTGAAAATGTATGTTTACTCAGGAACCAGACTTTTGGCAGTGAGTTGGCCAATCCACTAGCCTCGTGGTTTCAACATGTGTTCGTGAAGTTTGTGTCAGTTTCACCCGTTTAACTGTTATGAAAGCACGCGCCACTTAATGTGCTGTTCAAATGTTTCATTCCAAGAAAATGTTGTACTCGCACTTTTCCTTTCGTCCATTAAATATTCAGTCGGCTTGTTCACCTTAAAACTAGCTTAGCCTGTTCAGTAACAGCTGCCCAATTATAATAGTGTCACAAAAAATATTTTGTCAGATAGTTATACTAAGACTAGTTTTCTACCCTACGGCAGAGTAATAGCCTTGCTTTCACGCGGATTTGTGTAAAATCATTATAATTCTTTTCCGACAACTTCCGTGATTCTATCCGTAGTTTCTTGAGGCTGATCCGAGTTTTGCCTTGAAAAGTTTCGATCTATTTAGGTACAAACAATGGCTAACCTGTTACCATGAATTACCCGCGTCTGAGCCGGTCTCGGCTCGCTGTCAAACTTAATGGCAAGATACTGAACGCATCATGGCACAGGTAAAATCTTTGAAGAAAAACACATATCCGATGAAAATAGCATCTTTGATTTCGGTAGTTTAGTTATAGCGGCAACCTGAAAGCTAACCTTATTTCATTTATATACTATGTTCCAACATCGATTTATACTCTTTACTCTAACTCTTTACTCTTTACTCTTACTGATCATGAAAAGTACTTTTTATCATATGGATTCATGGAAGGTACATGGTCAGTAGAATCTCATTATCCAAACCCTCGCTTGTGTTATAGTTTCCCTGGTGGGCGGGGGGGGGGGGGAGCGGATCAGGAAATCATCTACTTCACCTCTCCCCCACTTGTTTTCCATTAACTGGCACTCTCCTCTTTTCAAACGGTTATGACGTACAGCAGACAATTTTGCTCAATCGACTGGATGAACGTTCATTGTTTGAGTTTGTTGCATCAATATTACTATTAAACGTTAATTTTCGTTTGGATCTATATGTCTTGAAATTAAAAAAGCAAAATTACGAGCTATAAATGGGGTAGAATAATTCAACAGTCAAAAAACGGTTACTCCTAAATACTGCCCACCTACCCCTCCCCTAAGCTAACGTTAACACTTACCTCTCAATTTGGGCAAAATGATGGCTTAGGGGAGGGGTAGGTGGGCAGTTTCTCAGAAAGCTAAGTAGATCCCAGTTTGTCTGGCGGCTGTGGATGGGCTCTGTTAGTGATGTTCTCAATATGTTGAGATCATAGCTGACCGCACCCAATGGCTGCAGGCGCTGGCAACTGACAGGCCACCAAAAGGATCAGCGTGAACGAGATGAAGATTCATACCCGCGAAGGTATTGAAAATTGTTTGGTTAAGCACCGGAGATTTTCTCTCAGCACGCCTGACACATGATTAGATTACCTGGGGTTGGCTTGAATCGATTTCACCCGTTGTATCGTCGTTTTCCTTAAAATTGAGCGATTTCTTTAAAGAACAGAAGATAAATACTTTTCAATTCACTAATTCAAATCCCTTTTGGTCATTTCTAACCTCTTAACCTTATATAGGACTTAGAAAGACCACATGTTTCTTTTTTATAGCGCTACATTTGTAACTAACCTCTCTTGAAACTTAATCTGATTCGAAGTCTGACAAAAATTTTTGTAACACACCAACTGTTTATATCGTAGAGAAGTGTCCTGTATTTCTATCAAAGGAAACCAGGAGTTTACTTTTGTGGAATCGGACCAAAACGTTTATAATAACAGCTGCCCGTGCCTACGTATGAGCACGGAAAATAGCAAACTACAAAGCATTACAACCTGAAAAGTTTTCTCTTATGATGTTCATTCACTTGTTATCCGTGAACAACCATGTTACCTTTGAAACGAGCTCCTGATGTTTAAATTAAGTACTTTCCAATCATTTAATTAGACGCCGTTTTGACAACTACCGGTAACCCAAATGTTTACCTATGCTCGGCTGCTCTCTGATAAATATAAGTTTGGACCCGGAATGTTCGCGTATCGTTTTCGATGCGACGAAGGCATATTAAGAAGACGGATGAGGTGTACTAGAGGATCTCAAATAGGAGTTTCTCTTAAGACCGCGGTACTGTTCGCGAATCTTCGAGGAAATTTAAGATAAATAAAGCTTACCTAAATTACGAGTGCTAACTGCCCGGCATTTTCGTTACATTTCGGGGGAATTACAACTGAATACCATCGCGGCATAACTATATATTTAGCGGACCGCTTGTTTCACTGATGGTATTGTAATCCTCAATAAACTAATCCGACGGGAACTGGCGGATTGGCTGGAACACAGCTCATCCTACACTACACTCTCACTGTTCCCTGTATCTCTGAACCACGTTACTTAAAGGCGGGGTTACTGGTCGTTTCGATACAATTAAGTCGTTTCGATACAAGATAATTCCTTCGAAGTGTAAATAGTTTCTTACTACGCTAAAAGAACGAAGAATATTTACCCAAAATGTTTTTCTTGTTCAACTGCAAAATTTACTTGAAGTGATGGAAATTTTTGTGCAGTTTCACTGCTTGAGTTCGTATCCAGACGAGTTGTATCGAAAGGACCGGTTTCCAAAGGCGAAGTTTAATCTCCACCTTATGGCAAACGGCGAAGATGTTCCGGCGGCGTACGATTACTTAGATATCCGAGGATGATCTCTTTCACGGCTTCCTACATACTTGCGTGGGTTATAAACAGGTCTCAAGCCGAGCCCAGGGTAAAACGATCAGAGTATCTTCTTTAAAGACGGCCAGCGATTCAAAACTGAACTTTTATTTCTCACTTTTTGTACAAATTTTGCACAAGCCGGCTATGCTTGTCAAGTAAGGGTAAATTTTTTGCCTCTTTGAGAAACATGACATTTTTCGTTAAGAAATACAAATTTGCATGCAAAAAAAATATACTGTGCTACAAAAAGTTCTTGCTCTCAAGTTTTTCTACAACAAATATTTAGTACTACTGCCAAAAAACTAGCAAGTGCGGACTACTTGTTACATTTCTTAATACCCACCATTCGTATGTCTTGGTCAGTTACAGATGTTGGCCTTTTCAAACATGTTTGGAAAGCCAGTAGTCAAGTCAAATCAAAACAAAGTTATCTCCGATTCTCATTAAAATATCGGCCTGTTTCAGAAAACTAGGCTTTGTTTATTTGACAAACACACAAGTTAACTCAATCTTTATTAACCCTTGTTAGATAATATGAACATGTCAAAAGAGTTCGTTAGTTTAAGTTTCATGTTTGTTTGCAGTTAAGAGCCACATCAGATTGGCCAACATCAACCACGTGGGTTTTGCGTGCGGCCAACTAAAACTGAATTACATGTCCATCGTGAAACAAGTGAAATCTATAAAAGCCAAGATTTGACAAAGAGGGACGGTTGTCGTTACGATCTAAAATCACCCCTGTGTTCGTTTAAACTACAGACATCGCATAAAAATTTCACACTAACTGGCTTTAGTGATTTCAAGAACTCAAAACGTCCTGAAATTTATTCCAAGACCAGATTTATACTTAACACACTTTCTCCCCAATCCGCTAAAATTCCGGGCATACATCCGGGAAGCGGGTTAGTCGTTAGGGTTGATTTCCAATGTCGTATAATTTAGGTGCTTACGCGCGTAAATTTGACGTGCGGAAACAAAATAGAGGCAATGTATATAGCGGCGCGCATAAACGTAAAACTTGAACCTCGCTAAACCTTTACGACCTTTCATTACATACTTTGCCTCTATTTTATTTACGTACGTAAATTTTACGCGCGAAAGCACCTAAAAATTACGCTACAGTGAAAATCCACCCTTAGGGCTGATTTCCAGTGTCCTGCCAGAGGTTTCAGCCGTGACAACAACTGAACCGGCTCACAAACTTGTTATTGGCTTCCCTATTTGCTTATGCCTTGGTCCAAAAGACCAGTTATTTTAAATCACACAAAAACGCAGGTACCCGCTGACTTTTGCTGTTAATTTTCCAGTTGTCAAAGGCAAACGCTACAAAATATAAATAATTATGTGCAATTATAAAAATAAAAATAGCACCCGCAGGGCGAAGAATTTCATTATTTTGCCTCATTGCCAGGTTTTCTTTGCAAGAAGAGAAACCGCTGAACGTTGTTCTTCGCGCCATTTCCAGGCCCTCTCTGCCAAACGGAGAAACCCTGGGAAAGAGCGGGTTATAATTTTTGAGAATCGCAGAGTCATTAACGTCCCTGAATCCAGATTCCTTGTTCTTGTTCGTTATTTTCCTTTGTCAGCTCTTCTCTTCTTTTAACTCAATCAACGCTCCTGGCCACCTAAGTAGAAGGAATGACACCAAAACAAATACACGTTACTATATTTCATCACAACGAAATTATTGTCAGTAAATTGCACCGCGTCAGAGTTCATAACCATTCCGGCTTTTTGATAGATAAGGTTGCGAGCACTGGGATATAAGAAGATTTATTTATGGTTTACTCACCTAGCGTAGATTTTAACAGTGCTTAGCGCAAACAAGACAGGGGGAGAGAGATGAGCAAATTTAATTCCTCTGGCCGTTCTTCCTAAATATGATATATCCCCTGTCCCTTGAAAGTATTCGAATCTACCTTATTATAGGAATATCTACCTTATTATAGGAAATTGTAAACTCTCCACGACATTAATATATTGGAGATTAACACGACTTAAAGTATTACTTATATCCACTGAATAGCTATTTATCCTGTTGATAGCGCTATCCAACTATTACACAACCAGGGCGAGAAGAATATCGAGAATTTGGCGCCAAAATAATGGAATTAAGGTCGCGGAAATTAACTCTCCACTTAATTAACGGCGCGGTAATTCGACGCTAAAATTTTAAAATTCGCTTTTATTTTATGAAGAGTTAATTTCGTATAATAAGGTATTCCGTTTACAACTCTACAAATACTTTTTCGGTAACAGCAGAGGGCTGGCTAACTCACTTTGTTCTTATACAATATTCTGCATCACTTGGTTCTTCACCGAACTCTTCATCAGGATTGAACAAGTCTCTTGTATCTGATAGGAAAATAAGCCACTAAACGTTACTTAAAAAGTAAATTTGCATCCTTTTCGACTTCAGTGCGATGATTATTTCAACTCCCTCAACTAGTTAAACGTTTGCCTGGGAATCATAAATACCTTTAGATCCCGGCCGCTCGTATTTTACGCTGTCTATTTCTCGAACGAGGCAGCGGATCAGCTGTAGATTCAAGAACAAGAAAAGTTGTCTTACCGACAACGAATACACATGATTCATCTGCGGTACTGTTTCGCTTGGAAGAACCAGTGCAGTGAAATAAGTCAAATCTTCTCTCTAGCCTCCTACAAAAAAAAAACATAAAAATAGTCAATCATAGTGGCTGAAGTGGAACCCGAGAAAGACAAAGATAAGGATATAATATTTTAACATTACTGACCAATCGTTGACGAGGTCCTTGTTAAGAGAGAACATTACTCCATATCTTTCACCAGTTTTTACAACCCATACTGGAAACTTGGGAGTCTTGAGCATGCTACCAACCTAGTCGGCGGTCAATACAAAAACGCAGCTGTTACTGAAGTACAATGATTAATAACTAGTGAACATTTTCCGCCCGTCAACAGTGTAAATTTGATGACCTCATTTAGTTTTTGCTATTATTCCATATAAAAGAACGTTGTTTCCCAAGAGAGTGTTTCCTGACAAAATGGGAGCCAATGACGTCACATGAACTCAAAACAGGCCGATTTCGACTTCCAGTATTTCGTTTTTCTTTTATTCATTATTTTTTTAACAGTTGATTTGTTATGTCAGTTGTTTCCTTAGAGGGTCACAGATTAATCAGTTCTTGGAACTATCAAGTGTCCCCCGTTTTAACTGATGATGTTAGTTTGTTCAATTTTGCAGGGAACGGTTAAGAAATGCCGGTACAGGTATCAAGATGTCAAACGCGCGAGGCGGGGGGGTGTTTTACTGATTCATCCTTGTCTTTTTCTTTTTGCCGTTCTTGCTACCGGCCCCGTAGTGACTGCTTTTTAACTCTAAGAGTTTCAAGTACCTGGCTTTCATTACCTGGAACGATCTAGGATCGTGATGTTCTTCAGTGGACAAGAAACCAATTTCATTTCGACCTTTGATGCCAGTTAATGGATGAGACTAATGAAGAAAAAAGAACTTCAAAGTTGGTTATCATTTTCATCATTCAAAAGTTTAATACCTTTGGTGAGGTAGCATTTTGCTGAAGGGAAAAAAATTCACTTTTTAAAATAGAGACCTTTAGATTTAATTTAATTTACTTTTTACGTTGAGTTTTGAGTGTTTGGAAAACACCACTTGTCCACCGATTGTATTTGCGTGCGATATTATTCAAAAACGCTGCAACAATTTCTCACTTATAGAGACCTTAGGATTTAAGATAGGCACGAATACGAGGACAAAATTATGTAAGTACTAAGTAGTGCGCGCGCGTGAACCAGCATCATTTTGGCGGGAAAACATACTAGTCGCTGTCATTCTATTACCGGTTAACCGTGCTAACTTTTCTGGTTAAAAAGGTAAAATGAAAGCTTCGGGGGAAAGGGGGTCTATTTTTTCACAATAGGCGAAAATAGCTTTAGTCAAATCTCGTCCTCAAATCTAAAGGTCTCTATTTTAAAGATGAGCATCGACACTGGTTCGGTTTGAATCAGACTGCACTATTCGACTGTTCTGGAAATGCTCAACCTCGTTCCCAGGGCGCTTTTCCCTGGCTTTGGAGGTGGGGCCGAGGTTGGGGAATGCTATCGCTCCTTTCATTGGCTATAACAAGGTTGCACGGGAAACTGGATTTAAATTCGTACCACAAAACAGTCCCATGGTGCAATTCGACACAACACCGACCCAGTCTCAAACGCGACTTCTAACTGGCCAATAACAAAGTAAATGAAAAAGTAACCTACCAACTTTCGACCATTTTTGTGGTACTCAATATCACCATTGAATACGTTTGGTACAGCTCTGCCTGTGAGCAGCAGGTTTATCATCGCCTGTGTAAAACAAGGCATAATTTACGATTACCTTAGTTCAGTCACCACGCCCATCGACTTCAAGGGAAATAAGCACCCTTTTCTCTACCAAACAGTTCCAGTGGTAAAAAACTCCACTGATTTATATGCGATCGAATACAATTGCCAGCGTTGCATGTCGGAAGGAACTTATAAATGAACACGAGATGTTCTGTGAGTGCACGGCTCTTCATTTTATAGGGAAGTTCAAATCCTGTACGTAGTTAGAGCCCAAATGGCCTGTAAAGAGATTTTTCACCAAAAAAAAGGCTAAACATACGTACCTGTGTACATGTGTCATGAAGTCCTATGAGAGTTGCGTTTGGGTCACCAAGATCCTCTCTCACTCTACAGAAATAATTTGCGTGTGTGAGCAGGTCTTTTCACATACCGCCCGCCTAGGCTGGTTACAGTTGTTGAAATATTGTTGTTAATTTAATTTCGTTCCAATCTTACGTCATTTTTACGACACAACACAAACCCAGTTTCATGTAATACCATTCTCGTCCCCAGATCTTTTGGTCGGGCCACGGCTACCGATCCGTTGCGCTGACCACAAGGATCGCAGCTTTGGGGACGAGAATGACGCCAATAGTGCGCATGTGCGGCCCCATGAGGGCTGATTTCCAGTGTCGCGTATTTTTTACGTGCGTAAAATTTACGTTTGCAAATAAAATACAGGCGATGAATGAAAGGTCGCTCATAAACGTAAAAGTTGCACCTCGCTCAACTTCTCGCACTTTTTATCTTGCCTCTATTTTATTTATGTGATTAAAATTTGCGCGCGTTGACGTGCGTAGCCAAAAACGCGGAAGCAAAGAAAGCACTTAGTCATGGTCCCAGCCACAAATATAAGCACTGCATTTTTTAACCTCCATAAGGTGGACACATCTCCAATGAAAGTTCCCAAAGACGTCTGCTCACTCGCAGTTTAATTATATTGTTAAACCTCGAAACGGACCTGTTTGTTTAACATAGCTAGAATTTTCTTGCTTGGCTTTAAAAAACCGATATTTTGAATTTAGCCTACTGGGCCCGAACAAACACTACCGAGAAACGGACTCCGGGTGTAAATAATGGAAGCACAATTATAGCACAGGGAACCGTTATGAAGATAATTGGTCCTGTTAGTAAGCAGCTCTTAAAAACCTCTAATTTCATTGGTTCTCCATAACACGCAACTCCATTGTTCTAGGGATAGACTTTCTATGTCAATTGTTTTCACAGCCAATACCGTGAGGCCCTGTAAAGAGCTGCGTGGCGCCTCAATTGGTGTGTAAGCCGTCCATCCTTGTTGGTTGTCCTGTGCTAAAATTGCGTATGGGCAAGAGAAACGGATTGTAAACTATGAGCTTACCGTTCGACGGTTCTTGATAAAATTACTGAATATAACAGCAGAATGCAGCCATTCCCGTTTGTGCTTTCAAACTAAAAGAGAGAATTGCCAGGGAAACATTGGAAACAGAATTATTTGTTCAAATCAGTTACAGTCGGCGTTTACGATAGCTCGACTTCAGCTCCCCATTATAAACGACCATACAGATATAACGCTCATATTTTATCTAGTTCTTATATACTTACAAAAGTTAATTGCTTCTTTATGAATTTTTCCAGGTCAGCTGAGTCAGTGAATCGAAACAGGTGAAGCTATAAGGGAACACACGATAATGAATGTTTAAATAATTTGACCTGCTTTCTACAGAGATTATCACAGACTGCGATCAAATAGTATCATGCTTGCCATTTCAAAAAAAACACAACGCGCAAATCACAGCTGAGAGGAAAGCGTAAAATTAGTGCCGCCAAAGGATGGGGGAAAGTCACACTAGACAGATGTTTCTCTTGTAACATTTTTGTGGTAAATGTTGCCCATCGGTATTGACTGCTGGGCCCGGATGATGCATGTGTTGCATGTTAGGTCCCAAACGAATTTCAATGGTTTATCTGTGCTCTAAATTCTCTTACCCCTATCACTAGTTATGGTAAGATGATACGTCACTCTAAATTTCAAGTCTTAGGAACAAAAATCCTATGTTATTACCGTTCAAATGAAACCTCTTTGATAGAACTTTTGCATGGTGCTTTTTATTTCTTGGGATTTTTCAGACGTTTAGAATATTTTGAGAACTCTTCAACTTGGCTAGTATTAGGAGTGAAAGGGTTTAAAAAGAAAGGCGGACACTGTTTAGAGTTTCTAAGACCCTTCCGTGATTAACAAATCGTCTGCGCAGTGAACGCCGCCCTTAAATCGTTGTTCACGCATCACGCTGGTACAAGACTGCTGCTTCCCTTTCCGTAGCGCCTATTACGAAGGTTTGATAACTTACCCTTTCAGTAAGGTGATCCTCTCTGTAATCATCCATTGTTATCCAGTTACATTCACCGCAAGGTCTACAAACCAAGATAACCATATTACAGCAATGTTTTCAAAAAAGCATCAATGGTAATTTGGTTTCTCGTGTGGGTGAGCCAAAATTTGTATGCAAACGTCTTCTTGCGAGTGGTGCCGGCTACATGAATCTGATGCACGTGGGAATATTTGCACTTTGAATGCAAGACTGTGTTGTTAGGTTAAGTCCAAATTATAGTTTGTTTCCTGGACAAAAATTTGATTCCTAACCAAGCTACATAAAAAGTAACCATGTTTTCGCAGCTATTCACTTACGGCGCGCAAGCTGTCTCGGCGCGTGGCTGAGGGGCCCCATAGGGGAGAGAAATTGACAGAGACCCTAACCCTGACCTTACCCTTTCTATCTCCCTGCCTACACCCGGGAGAGCCTCTGGCAGGCAGGCTACACACCAGTTTCGTAGTTTAGTTTATCCTCGCAGTAAGAACCGCGTTCTGGAAGGCTTCATTAAGCCAAGCGCGAAGCCTGAGCCAAGCGCAAGAACCTAGAGATGAGCAAAGAGCGATACGCGCGTAGGAAATGTTGGCTCTGTAAATTTACTGTCCTGTGTGATGTATGTAACAAAAAAGAGCTTTCTATCTGATCAGATCACACTTCCATTCAGAAAAAAAACAAACGGTTTGGTTTTACGTGCACTCACAGGACTACTGTAGCTTGTTCTTGTCCTCCAGCCTGCCAAACCATTTTCGCGATAGCTGTGATCAGAGCCTTCTGTCGGTCGGATGACATGGGTGCCAACATGCTGCAAGGATGAACCAGAATCTCTCAAGTGAGGAGTCTATCGAGATATACTGGCTACATCAGATGCAGGTGAGAAAGATAACATTACAAAGTGTTTATATGTTCCAACGAATAAGCTACATAACCTTCTAATGCTGTTGGCGAACATGTGGTTTCGAAACACCAACTGTCCTCGTAAGCGTAAGTGACGGAGCCATGATATCTAAAAATGGCCCATCTAAGAATGGCCCAAAATAAACGCAGCCCCTAGTAACATGCTAACCTTTTTTGACGGTTTGATTTCACCTTCTAACGAAAAAGACGTGCCTTGTGTTTACTTGACTATGAACACGCTCTCCATTTTGGGGGAGTCGCGAGGAGTCACGCGTGAGTGTCACGCGCAAGGAGACGCGAGAGCAAGAGGCGGCATTGCCGCTCGCTCGCGCGCCCTCTCGCGGCTCGCCTCGCTCGCCAGAAATGGAGAGCTGCTCGCAGACTATGTGCATACCTCTTTACATGATCCAGGGTGGGTTGTTCGTATAGTAAGTATCTTAAGAGGTATCCCTGTAAACAGGCCATTACCCCATCAGGACCCACCTGAGGTAGGTACAGTAAAAACAACATAAAGTTAGTAAAATCAGATACAAATGATTTTCCAAAGGGGACACTCTTGCGCAATAGCCAGAAAATATTGCACATCTTGAAATAAAAGCAAATAAACCCGTGATTTCGTGCGTCTGTTTATTCCTTCTGAAATGAGCAACGAAAAAATACGGCGATATGATTGGTTGGCTAGTCCTACAAGAATGCATTTCGGACCGTGTCCAACCTCCTATGACCGCTAGTCTGGCTTCCTGAACACTGAACGGCTTTTCTTATGAAGTTTGCGATTACCGGTACATAAACAATGTTGAGCATGATCTGAGGTATCCAGGCTTAAAAGAGCTGGGAAAACTGAGAACATTTAATTGCTATCTCAGTCTATTTAACCCGCACGTAAACTCGAACACGGGTAAAAACAGCTCGAGAGCTTTCCATATCAAATTTACCTTGTAAAAACTTAAAGCATAAGACATATTAGTGAAGAAGTTGATGTGCTGTTTTCTCCAGTCTGAACTGAAAGATGTGTACGGTGTACCGAACAACAGGACACGAAGAGCCTGAAAAATAAAAATAAAAAGCGACAGTTAACAGAAAAAACTGAAACAAGGAAATTAACGAAGAAATAGATTTAGAATCACGTTTGCGGCAAACTGCGCCACTTGACCAAGATTTTTTCCTTCACTCGTCGTTTACTGTTCATTTAATATATCTACAAAACAAAACTGAAGTAGCTTTCGAATGCATGACACTTTAAGTGAGGAGTGTAAGGAAGCGAAAAGGGCTGTCAGCATTCTTAGAAAAAAGAGGATTTTACTTTACCCTAGCGAAATCCAGTGTGATTGGTTCTCCACCAGAAACAACGGGTTTAATTGGTTCTGATGCCGATTCTGTTGTACGCTCTCTTTCTAAACGTTGTCTGCATCGTGAGGAATTTTGCCTTTTTGAACGATTTGGAGACACATGAGTTAAAAGCGGACCAATGTCTGAAAGGAAAGTAGTCAACGTAAATTTAAAGGCTAAAAACGAGTCGATTACTCCAATAATTATTTAAAATAAGGAGGCGTCGGTTTGAGGCACTTTCTAAGTAACAAGACATCTAATCTGCTCTGTGCAAGATTTCCACTCCCAGATAATAAACGACAATTTGACAATAATTGTAGACCTAGATTTGACTATCTTGTTTTATTTTTCCTGCCTGTTGTTGTTAGTATCGTCTGTACATAACCCTGAAATCCAGCATTCTTGTAGTGAAGTTCATTAAATCGTGATTAAACAATTCAAATAAAAACTAATGGGTAACTTAACATGCGCGGTTCTAGCTCAGTTTGAGTGTAACCAGTAGTTCCACTCGCGTCTTTTTTTTTATATGTAATAGGTATATAGTGTTGTTTATTGGGGCCTCAGTTTTGCAGCCTGGTGCTGAAATACAGGTGAATTAGGCTGTCAGTCAAATCACTGGCAAATATCAGTATCTATAAGAACTGTTTACTACCCTGTACAAAGTGCATCTAAATATCAAGGGAAGATTACAGAAAGAGGAGAGGATCGACTTTAAAACTTTTTTGTATATTTCTTGGTTGTTTACCATTTTTGCTCGATCCTTTTCTGTGACTCTAAGATACGGTAGCTCTTTCGAAAGCGAAGGTATTTACATTCGAATGAACACTATTGAAGAATAGTTCCGTGGTACTATTTTCTAAGATTTGCAAGATGGTTCTAAATTGTGAATAAACTAACCAGAGTGTCACAATTCGACTGTCCGAAACACAAGTAACCTGTGTAGCTGTATTAGCTAGAGGTATTTCATGTACTGGAGTTGTTATAAAGCTGTACTATAGTTGGCTCTAATACTGAAACACGAAAATTCATTTGAAATTGAATGAACATTTAAATAAAAGTTGTCGAACTTTTCAGCAAGGCCTATTGTTACGAAATAAAGAATGACTCCCGCTGTTTTGAACACTTGAAGAGAGAAACCAAGAAGCTTGCTTCACGCAGGAGCAGGAGCTGCTGTTTAAGTGAAAACCTGTTTTCTTTTAAGGGAAGCAAGTGTTTCGCGAAAGTCAGTAATTGACTGATTGTGAAAGCAGTAACCAAGGGAACTGGGTATTCCGGCACTAGGGTTAATGGAAAAAGCTGGAATTATCTCTCTGATAGTTGGCAAAAGATTACTTAAGGACAAAATAAAAAAACTGCTTACCTGATCCGTACCACAAAAGCGTGTTCATAATAAATAAATGGGTTCAATTTCTCTCCAAACATGAACTCAAAATAGAAAATACTTCAGCCAAAATCACTCCTCGTTAAGTATGGAAATACATGATTATTCTAAAGCGTGTAACAAATGTGAAAGTGGGCAATTACTGCTATTTGACTCTAAGAATCTGTGTTAATTACTTGTTGATTGCTCTTGTGTCACTTCCTTGACAACTTCTTGTTGATAACTTGTAGATTTTGCAGCAACCTGCGATGAAAAGGAGACATCATTCGGGAATCCCAGGGTATTCGACCACAATTTCCCGAGTTTAACTCTAAGAGTTGCCATTACTTCACTGATATCGCGGAATTTAGTCAAAGGAATTTGGCGAGACTGAATTTTTCTAAAGGCAACTTAGATATGCGATTAGACAGAGTACAACTTTAACTGAGAACAAGATGGGAACACTGAACTGTTTCTGGGCTGAAAGTTTCGTGACTATAAAGAGAAAGTACGTGTATTTGTCACAATCCACAAAATGCGATGACCATCAACTCTCTAACACCGCCGCATATGAAGATAGCAGGTGGGTAGCCATAACTAGCCGTTTTCTTACATGCGCAAGGTCTTCTAGTAGTTAATTTATTTTGGCCTTAAATTACTGCCAGTGAGATGATGATCAGACATTGTATTTATATTTAGTCTAAACTGGTTGGTAATACCCTGGGTTCCAGAGGTTTATTTCTCGCGTGTGGCGGGATGCTTTCGCGCATGAAAAGTCTCTGTTACCCAGGGTAGGCTTACATAATAGTCGTCAACTTAGAATTTAATTGCAGCTTCCAAACCAGAAAACGAAGCTTCAGTGAAAACATTAAACAAAATTATTGCTTTCTTGGGCCGGACTTTCAGTGGAGAAACAACCCCTTCCTTCTCCCGCCTTCAAAAATTAGTCTTCTTGCAACTAGATAATAATTTGTGCCAGGACTACACTTTTACTTACCAACTTTTCTGATATAGACTGTTCGGCTTCATTCTGTGATTGAATGGTTTTATTCTCCAATGTTTCATATTTTCCCCTCGTTTGCCTTACAGGTTTTACTAGTTTAGGATGGATAGATCTGACTGGTTTGACCGGTTTATCTTCCAGAATTTTCCTCTGTTCTCTGTCATGGCGTGAGCAACCACGTGAAGCAGTCTTGAAATTAAAAGCAGGCTTTGGAGGTGGAAGCACATGACCAATCTCTAGTAAAAACAAGCTGGGAACATAAGAGCTGGGTTTGCAGTTATATTCTCGGTATATACAGCTGATAATGAGCTTTCCTGTTTAGCCTCAATTTCCTCATGGAAGACAATGAATACCCAAGAATTATCAAATAAACAGAGCTACAGGAAAGGTTTTGACTTTTTTTCACCACAGGTTCATGATGTATCAAGCCCAGAAACAATCAGCTACACCCTGTGTTTTGAGCTTACCAAAACACTCTTACTGTTTGCTATTATTTTTCTCATTATATTCACTATTATTATTATTATTATTATTATTATTATTGTTATCATCATCATCATCATCATCATCATCATCATCATCATCATCATCATCATCATCAAAAAAACTAATTATTAAAGCAAAGTGAACCTCAGAGACTTGTAGCTCACCCATATCAATGTCGTCACTGACATCTTCTTGTACATCTTCTAGTTCTAATGTGCTGGATCTCTTTAAGGCCAGCTGAAATGTAAGCAAGTTTTAATAGTTATTGCGAATACACTTACAGCTATGAGAAAACACAGATAACTATTTCTGTAGATGATATTACAAAACACAGAAGAAATCTGAGAAATGTGTATCTGGTTGGCTTTAATTAACTCAGTGGTGAGTTACTCCAGAGAAAGGTGAAAGAATCAACTATCAGACATAATTCACAGGATACTTTTAGGTTTAGATTTACTAGATTTGCCAAAATACAGGAAAGTTCAATTTTTGAAGGTTTTCATAGCTTATTTAATACCTTAAAGCTGCCATGTTTGTAACTTTTAAGAGATCATGAGAAATTAATCAACACAAAATAACATTATTAAAAGTTTATCACATTAAAATTTTCAGTTACTTACAGTTGATGGCACAGGTGTCGCAAGGCTGCAAGCGAAGAGACAGATTACACCAACATTAATTTAATTTAGAAATAGGAAATGACAAAAATGTTTACTCTATTTTGCTAGGCAAGAAAAATGAAACTGCTAATGATCATAAGGGCATTACAGTGTAGCTCCATTAACCCCACTCAGGCAACCCCAGTGACCTTCCTAACATGTCACTTGATAATTTGGCTCCCTGATGATATGGGAAACATCAATACCAGGCAAAACTCAAAGAGATTTAACCAAAAATATGTTCCAATAAAATGGTTTCTCACTATTACAGATTTATTGGAAAACTTGTCCATGTTGCGAAAAGCATTATTTAAACCTTGCTGCTACCAATGCAGATATCAAGTGGCATTGTCAAAATCCAGACAATCACAAAAAAAGCATTTTTTATCCATTTTTTTTTCATCATATTTGTCTCAGTATAGAAAATAAAAATATTATTGTCTCTGATAAAGACACTCATAAATGTCAGAACAACTGCTCACCTCAACTAGCTAATTGCTAACCGTAGGCAGTAGATATTCTTTGCTTGTAAAATTTGAAATAATTAATAAATAAGACATTTGATATAAAACTGTAACTCAAGTGAGGGGTGTAGCTAAATTATCTGAATTTTCAGAGGCAGTGGCTTAGGGGGCTTAATGTGGGTCACACCAGTAGTAACTCTAACCTAATGCTAATGTTAACAATAATATTATTTAATTCTAACCTTTTGTCAAAAACTCTAGCCCATTTCTCCAGCATTGGTATGTTAGTATCCTTAGAATCCTTTGACATTCTTAACCATTTCTAACCCCAAGGAGACAACAAAAGTAATACAGTGGAACCTCGATATAACCAACCTCTATATAACAAAGTTCTCAGAATAACAAATGATTTTCTTTAACCCACTAATAGTTAAATAATTAATGAAGAGAACCTGGATATAACGAAACCTCGGTATAGCTAACAAATTTTGCCAGTCCTTTGCCCCTTCGTTATATTGAGGTGCCACTATATGCATGTTATGATAACAATTATTATCATTAAGTTTATTATTGTTATTGTTAGTAATGGTAACAGGACTGAGTGGAGTCCAATTGGGTCTGTAATCATACGAGTGATTAACAAAATCGGATGACCGCATAGCAGGAGTCCGATTTGTTTAATCACGAGTATGATTACAGACCAAATTGGACGACACGAAGTTCTGTTACCAATTAATCATAACTTTAACAAAATTTGTAATATAGTAATAGGCTATTTTTTTAAATCAAAACACCAGAAATTCAAACTTTTGTTTTGCTAGCAGTGAAAAAAAAAGCCATTTAAGCGCACGCGTGATGGCGCGTTCTGTCCAATTACTTAAGCATGACGCGTACTGTCCTATTAAACTGTCCAATTAAGGTTGAAATCAGGGCAGTTGATAGCCAATCAGATTTGACAATTTTGGTATAGTTATGATTATCACTGTTATAACTTTTATTGTTATTATTATTATTATTTTTTATTATTATTATTAACAAAATAATAACTCTCTTTACAACCCAGTTGTCAGAGAGCGATATTACTTTTGATATTGTTATTTGTAGCTTTTTGGCAATAATTATCTTGTAAACAAAAGAAAACAACTACAAAACAAAGCTTTCTTCTTTCAGCCTCTTTCCCCCAATTTACAATTAAGGCTAGAAAATGGGGCTCAATATTTTCACTGCCTTACGTTTTACCGGAGTCAAACGTTCCCACTATAAACGAATTCCGCGTCAGTAATATCGACCTCCAAAATCTTTGTAGCGCAACTAGTCAGGTGACTTTCATCAACTTGCGTAGGGATGTTTCCGTCAGCTCCAATAGAATGAAAAAGCTTTGAAGTGCTCCGCACGTGTCATGACGCCAAATAGGAAGCCTATGTATGGAAGATCTTTGGATGTCCGGCTCTCATTGCTTTTAAAGAAACTACTCTAAGGTTCGGCAAAACGCCATTTTGGTTTCTAAGTGATGCAGATAGATAGGTCATATAAAGTACACGAAGTGTACTTTCTGTCACCTCATATAGGCTCTTTGCGTGACTTGATCACGTGACCAGCTTTCGGTAAACACGAAAACAGTTTACTTTTGAAAATTTTGTTAGCCCAAGCTGAAAGAGCATATTAAAATTAACTAACCTGAGCATTTTTAGCCGTGTATCTCAAAAGTAGCGATTGTAACGGCCACCGAAAGTTAGAAACATTTGTATGAGGAAAACAACTTTTGCCACAGGGAGTCACGCTAGCACCTCCTTGTAAATTGTAAAATTTTTAAACTGTCGTTAAATCTTTCCAGTAAGAAATTAAGCGCTCAAATTGCGTTTATGAATTAAAAGGAGATTTGAGCCCTGTAATGCTTAAGGAAATATTTCATGACAGTTTTGAAAATTTCTAAATTACAAGGATTTGTATGGAAAACCATGCAAGCGTGACTGGATGGCAGAAGTTGTTTTTCTCATACAAATGCTTCCAACTTTCGGCGGGCGTTGCAATCGCTACGTTTGAGATATACGGCTGAAAATTCTGAGGTTACCTAATTTTAATATGCTCTTTCAGCTTGTGCTGACAAAATTTTTCGAAAAAGAACTATTTCGTGTTTACCGAAAGTTGATCACGTGATCAAGTCATGCAAAGAGCCTATTGTCCGATAAAAGATTGCGGAAGTACATGTTTTTATTATTTGTCTATTTTTCTTTCCATTTATAAAAACTAGCATCTTTTGGTTATTTGGCGACGGACGAAGGACGAGGTAAAAGATTGCAATTTTACCAAATTTAGCCTGGGAAAACAGCCGTTTCTCCTTGCTCCTCGCCGCTGAGGACGTTTGACGAGGAATAACGTCCCAAAAGGCGAAGATCGAGGAGAGTAACGGCTGTTTTCGCAGGCTACACCGAGTTAGGCTGACGTTTAAAGTTCTTACACGAATTAAAGTTTTATGCCCCAAAAAAGAGAGGCTGTGAATGTTTATTGCTTTTTTTTTTGGCTTGGCTTGTGAGGGCGTCGTAAGTTCACAATCTAAGCTAATCTATCAATGTTATGGTTATTAAATTTTGTTTTGAACAGTTAAGAGCTTTATCCTCTCTTGTCAGCATAGATTAATTATCGTCGTGCGGAAGATCATGGCTCGTTTAAGATTGGTCGTTTTCGATAAGGTTCACCAGACAGTCATTCTACGGTAAACCTCACAGTGCTCCAGATTCTGCTGTGTCATTTTATTTTCCCTTAATTGTACGAATAGTGGCGTCACTCAAGAACGTGCCTTGCCCCTCGCCGTTTGTTGTTTTTCTACTAGACGAGTAAGCAGACTCCCGACTAAAGCACGATTTAAATTTGTTTATTTGTTCGTTTGTTTTTTGGGGGAGAAAATTCATTAATTGATTAATCTAGTTTATTGCAAGCTGTCAACTGGCATTTGTCGACTACAAACTGAGCACCTGGGTAAGGCACAAGCTTAAGTATCCTTGAACCTTCTATGAACCTTAAAAGTTCCGGGTTTCTGTTGCTGATTTTCACTTTGTTAAAACTTGCAGTATTTTAAAATGCTTTGTTTGTGTGAGTGGGAATAAAGTTATTTGGGATGATTTATTTGCTCTCTGTGGTTATAAGAAATCTTTAAAAACCCAAACGTTACTCCTGGTCGAGTTATCAAAAGTTACAGAGTACTTCTATTGCTGTCAATAAAGAAATACAACGCGTCATCTCTCATCTTTGAAACAACAAAGAGTATAAAAGTTGCGTGAAAGAGAGGCTTGATAATAACAATAACCTTAATTTGACCCTCGGCAGTATTTATAGCACCAAGGCTATTGGGGGTCGAGCAAATATACGTGAAGCAATTCATGGACATGTCCTTGAAGTAGCAAAATGTCGGACAAAGTAGACAAAGACAACAGAAAAAGAGATTGTTGTACTATGATGGGTCAAGAGCGCCTGTGTTTTTTTTAAATGTCTGCAGTTGCACAACATTTGGATATCGAAACATTTGCACAATGATTGGTCTTCATGAACTAGTGCAAGTCCTACTCGAATTAAAATTTTGGTAAATTTTTGTATGGTCTCCCATCACTCTCCGGCCAGCCTTTTTTGCAACAAGAACCCTTTTAGCGTCCATTGGTGGAATTTATAGAATAAAAACCTGTCTTGCTGATTGCAATTTCGAGTCAGAGAAACATAGGGCGTGGCTAGACACGTGATGAAGTTAAATACTTTACAAAGGATCATCTCCTCACCCCGCCTTTATATCACTGAAAACTCCATAAAGAACTAGTCTTTTATCCATTTGAGTAATTTTTCTTCATTGCTTGCTTCGCTTAAGTGCGAGGGGAGCTGAAAGAAACTTTAAACTCTTACTTCATCTTTACTCGGTCCTGTCAAGTTTCGTGCACAATCAATACCTCGAAACAGTACAAACCGAGTTACACGGGGCTATTAAACCTCTCATACATGCAAATTCGTTATTTTCTTTGCTAGTTTTCTTCTGGAATCGATATGAATCCTTCCACCTTCCTCATAGATACCGTAACTCAAATCTTCGCTTTTTGCCCAAACCTTAGTTGATGGATATTCACTCAAACTGAGAAACTAGTTCATAGCATCAATATTTTCGAATTTGACGAGTTAATTCACGAGTTCTCTAGAGACTTAGAATGAGGGCTACTTAGCCATCTTAGCCGATCTAGAGATATGATTTTTTTGCTGTTTTAATCTGAAAATAGCTGTATGGCTTGAAAAGATATGTGTTTTAAAACAGGTGGGCTGATACTGGTTTTTAAATGAGTATTTGCCATGAGTTACTGCGGGTCAAAGACGACTGATTTACTGACATTTGGCAATATAAATTACTGTCAATTAACGACTCTTGCAGGGACTGATCAACCTGACAGTGAAAACACTCAAGTAATGAACGATATTTTCACAGGTCAACTGAATACCAATCTTTATCGGGTTTATTAGGGCAAATCACAAATTTACAGGAATATATACGTTGCCAAACACTAATCGGAAGTCCAGGCTATGTAGTATACAAAGTGGTACTGATTAGAAATCGCATGGTTCCTGACTGACCCTTACCTTAATTCATGAGACCAAAATATAAATGATTTTCCGCCTAACCCTCCAGACATGAACCACTGTTCTTATGAGATGAATAATGAAAAGCCCAGGTTCCAGAGACCATGTAAAAACTTTACTAAACCCTACCCTTACCCTGATCCTTAACGTCTTCATAGTTTGCATCCTGATTCAGATTTATATTTCTTGATTTCTGATGTGTTAACATAATTTCTTTCTTTTCTTTTCCACTTTGCTGTATCATTTCTTGTATATAACATCTACTGTAATCTTCTACTTAATTAATTTGGCCTCGGCCACGACTAGCCTTTCAGTTAACAATTAGCGTGCCAAAAAGCTAAATAAAAACTAAACAACATCACAGTACCAGACTCGTACCCGGTCGCTATTTATGTGTTTTGGGGGGTGAGAGAAGAATGGGGGATTGGGTTGAGGCGCGCGCGGGGTCTCTGTCACAGTACGTTATGACTGCTGTTGTTGTTGTTTCAGATCTAAACTAGTCTGTGAACAGGCCTTTGGCCGAGCGGGGAATTAGGGAGAGGGAAAAGCGAAAAGGCCTCTCTCCCCCTTCCCTTCCCTTTCCTTGCTATTTTTTCCCCAGACAGAGAGCCTGTTCACAGGCTAGATCTAAACAGTCAACGGGATCATAAAACCGCCGTACTTCTTGGAGCCACACACATGATTTATATCGCTAAAGCTTAAAAAAAGAAACACAAACAGCGATGATCATGATAAGCTGTGAACTTTCGCATTTTACATTAACTAAACGTTTCCGATGCTAGTCAATACATTTTCAAAAGTGGTCAAAAGTGACCGTTGCAGATTATGTAGTAACAGACCTATTTATACAAAAGTGACAAGGGGCCTGGAAATGAGATTAGCTAGCATACGTAACGTCAAGTTTATATAAAAATGCGAAAGTTCACAACGTTATCACCGTTGTTTGTGCAACAAAAGTCTTTAGAGATATGATATAGGGTTCAATATACAGCTTAGGGAGTACCCACCCCCACCCCCCTGGGGATTGTTTGGTACGACTCTGGCGAGAGCGTGCGTAATGTCAGATTGGGTCTTACATTCCATCAGAACGTGGATACGTGCAACAGCTGGGCGTTTTACTCTTTTATTGATTAACCACAACCATGGAAGTGGTCATCATGCGCATATTTTGTCGTTTAGCTTTTGTATGTGCATCACCAGTGGCGCAGTAAATCTTACCACAGTTAGTGAGATTATTCTCGCGCCGTTCCGTAGTATTTTTCATCGAGTATACCGTAATTCCGCGGAGGAGAATTGTTGGTTTGCATGCATGGTAGGGCAAATCACTTCATGTGGAACAAGACGGCGGTATACACACCGATTGCATCCCCCAGGTTAGCTCTTTTCACTGATTCTGTTGTTTTGTCCGCCTCGTCATACCTTGATCAGTTAGGTTTCTTTCGCTAAAAAGAACTCATGATAACTTAAAGTATATTTGGTACTATACATATGGATCAGTGAATTTGTACCTGCGCTCTTCAACTGTTCTTCTGTAGTTTACTTCTAGTTGCAATTGTCTAATGTTCTCAAAGAAGTTCATTTTCGAAACCTTACAACTAGTGAAATGTGAAAAGGCGTCATAAATAAAAGAAGAACAAGGTTCAGTTCACTGATGGAGATGAATTATGCTAAGCTCTGGACCTTGCCCTTGAAGAACAGACTTTACTGAACGTGCGTCATCCTGAGCGAAGCAAATATCTACTTTTTGGGCAGGCGCGGATCTAGGATAAATACTGACCGATTTCCTAAACGAACACCGAAGGCGCAAGCTTCTAATTGGATGAGGGGGGCAGCACTTCAAATTTTTTCTATTTTAACTCCCTA